TTTATGTCTTTCTCAGTAAGTTTCACATAGGAATTGTGCTGGCAGTGATTGCGTTTATGATAAATCAATTGTAAATTTTGTGTTATTGTAACGGTTTGAAAGTGTTTTGAAATTCTAACTTGAGCAGGTGGCGCTGGTAGTGTTATTTGCGCGCCATTTTTTATATTGGGTATGTTGTTCCAAAATAGAACCCAGTGTACTGTCCAATGCAAATGACGTCATGAATCGCGGCTATACTGGTGATTCGTTCCAAAACATAGGACAGTATATGACGTCATACATTTGCGCCATATTGGAAATTGTTGGCGATTATTTTGTCATTTTGTGCTCCAAAAATCATTATATCCTCCTAATGGAGATACCAGCAATTATTCTATAATTTTTTGTGTTTGAATAAATAAAAACAAATTCTGGCATGCTTCATTAAGCGCACACACAATAAAAAATTGTTTTATTATGGATATCCGACCGATCCGCCGGATATCCGACACAATATGGCGGCGGCAGACTAGTACAATATAGTGTCAATTAATGACGTCATTTTTATTCGGCAGTATACTGAAAACGTTTCGGGACATACCCATTTTTTTAGTTTTTCAAACGTCAATATTCACGTATGTGCCACGCTACACTGTTCATGTAACAGGCTAGGCGAATACAACTCACAAAATTATACCTTTCTGTTACTGCGTTTGTATTGTGACGGCTAATTGTAAAATCGGCAGATATTTGTAAAATTAACCGCAGTTTATTAATTTAACAGTAACATTTATTAATAGCCTTTAATACATTATAAATATCTGCCGTTATAAAATCCTTTAAAGAGGGCATTTTGTGAAAATTATTATCCTTGTTTTTGTACACTAGCATTACCTATTTTCCTTTAAACTACTGTTAATTTTATACCTATATTACTTGTGATTGTGAAAACCAATTCCATAAATACCCTCGTATATACACGCTTATGAATTTGTAAATCTATGTAGCATTATAACTTCTATTTAATTTGCTTTTAATTGTTTAATTGAGTGACAAGTATGTATTGATGTTGTTTTTTTTGTAATATTTTCAATCTGTTATTAAAGTATTTATAAATTTTCGCGCCATAACCGTAACCTAACCGACAGATTTATGGCGGGAAAAATTATCAAAGTCAATGTATAGTCTATATTTAAGTTGTTATTTTGAAACGTTGTGGGCGGGATGCGGAAATACGCAAGGCGGCCGTGATTTTCTAGTAAAACTATTATTAAAGCTTTTCATACATCGGTCTTCATTGATTAGAAACGAGTTTTTGCGTTTTTTCAAAAATTATGAACCAAAGTTCTAAATGATTTATATAGAATGTAAGGTGGTTGAGAAGCGAATTATCTAAAATAATATTAATATTATAACCCTGAAAATTTAGAAACGTTCTGGGTTATAAGTTTACAAAGGAAGATTTCAAATAAAACTGTCCTTCATTTATGCAAAGTTTGTTACCTACTATTTTTTGATAATGTTTAGCAATTTTATTTAGAAGGATGAAATAGCGCATAAAAAACTATAGCTTAGAAAGTCTAAAAAAATGTATTTTTCCTACGCGGTGTTTGTATTTTTTATGGCTTGCGTCGACGATAGACGGTAAAATATTTTGGTTTATGACTAATGTGCCTGTTCCTTGCATGATATTTGTAACGCATGCGTAATATACGTGTTATTTTGGACATCTGTTAAAATCTTACTTAGTATTGTTACGAGCTTGGGGTTCGTGACAATAAAAAATGTCGATTGAATTACCAAAATTGACACTGTAGGTACAGAACACCAATTACAACTTAAAACACACTAATAATAAAACACAATTCTACTACTGATCACTTTAGTTCACATTTGTATCGCTTCGAAGTATTCGCTTGTATCGCCAATTCACAACCGACCCGGGTAGCGGTCTATACGGGCCGTATACAGGGTCTCTTTTTATGAAATATCTACATACTGGTCCCGATTGACTTTTTTATTTGATCGTTTGATTGGTGTAGAAAGTTCTGGCTTGGATATCTAGAAGGATCTTGACTCTCCTAGTTCTGCTACTCGATACTAGAGGGCGCTAGTACCAGGCATTAATTATGGCGCGCAACAGTATCTAGGTTTTTTCTCAGTTTTTCTAAATGGTATTGAATAAATATTTGCCTGCATTTATTTATACTGACTTTCTACTTTTCAGACTTTAACACAACATCTTTACCCTTCAGAGCTTAACACAACAGTGCACATTGCTGCTTGGAGGCAGATTTTTTTCAGCAGTGCACCTGGTGCTTACCACTGACTGACGGACTTCTTATGATATCTTTAAAAGTATACACCCGATTGACTTGAAACTTAGTACAGTTACTCATTTCGCAATGTAGACGCTCACTTAGAACGGATTTTACGATAGTCCCATCAAAAAGAATTTTTCTTGACATTAAAGAAATGGTAACTATGTTTCCATCTACCGACAGTGAGAGCAATGGAATAATTGATTCTATTATGCATTTACTAAGTGGTAATATGTAGTAGTTAGGTTATTGGTATCGGCTGGAACTGTGAGATATTAACAATAGACTATGGTGCTGCAAAGTACTCAAATTATCGGATATATAAAACAATTAAACACAATAAAATCCGTCTTAAAAGCTAATTTCACTAGGACACTAGGTGGTTTCTCCTTCGTACAACTTCTTGTGGAATCGTTTACCACCGACTATTTTTCCAGAAGGGACCTTCAAGAAATGAGCTTCCTCCTTTCTAAAAGGCCAGCAATGAATCTGCTATGGTGTTAACTCCATGATGATACAGTTGTTCATTGGTGGCAGTAGTCACTTACCATGGTGTGACTACCGCTACATGCGACTGCATGCTCATTTGCCCCCTCTAACATAAAAAAAACTAGTAAAGAATATCTAGGTTCCGCAATAAAATATTATGTGCGTCCAGCGAAGCGAGCGAGTAATCAGCTAATGACTATACTCCATTTACACTTGCAAACAACTTCATACATAGAAAGTTACAGATGTGTTGTCATTTATGAGGACTAACACGGAAAGCTTCACAGCCTGTAATTATATGGCTCTCTTTACACCTCAGACCAGGTTTTACACGTGGTAGAGCCACGCTGCAGCTATATTATGGCTGTAGCACGAATGCGTCGGCTCGACCGGGGCAGGACCACGCTCTCACAGGATACCAGCCTAAAATAGCAGCTTAATGCTGTTGTTTCGTATGGTGAGTGCAAAGAACCGGAGACCCTTTTTACTGGAATGACCAGACCAATGATGTGGCCACAGACATCTACATTTAAACCTCAATCAAGATCTTTACTGGAATGACCAGACCAATGGGCCCAAGACACACAAAACTACTACACAAGCCTATCACAAACCTCAACAATCAACCAATCACTGTGACAAAGTGTCCACAGACATCTACATTTAAACCTCAATCAAGAATCTTTTTACTGGAATGACCAGACCAATGATGTGGCCCACAGACATCTACATTTAACCTCAATCAAGAATCAAAATACAGATGCGTTGTCACCGCTGAGAACTAACATGAAATGCCTCGTGTCTAGTAAAAAACGGGGGATCTTTCGCACGTTTCTCTACACTCACCATACGAAACACAGCAGCATTATCTGCTATTTTACGCTGATATTCCGTGACAACTTGTCGTTCGTGCTACAACCATAATATCGCTGCAGCACGGCTCTACCACGTATAAGAATCAAAAAAAGGAACCGTACCACTTAGTTAATAAGCACATTATTAGTGCAAATGCTAAGGTGTGAGTATATTGTCATTGCATTGAAGTCTTTCTGACCTACCGGCCTATGTTAAAATAATAAATATAAGCAAATATAGCGTCAATTATGCTTTCAAAAATAATTTACCTCTTATATAGCTTATCTACTTTAAATAGCCTATATTTAAAAAAAAATTGTCATGTTTTCTAAACCTTTAATTGCACATGAAAAGAGACTAAAAATCAAAATATTTCTAGCAATTTAATGCTTTAGCAAAAATTAGGTATATTCAGCATTGCAATATTACACATTGTGTCTAAATTTATAAGATTTTAACAGATGACTAACAGTCGGAATGTTGTTTAAATTCTAGAATGATTTGTTTGATGTTTATATTACTGCACGTTTCCGGTTTGTTAGACTATATGTATTTGTATTTTTATAAACTATTCAATAGATATTTTTGTTTGCTTATTTTTTTATTTACTTTGTTTCAGCACTTACACAAAATGTTGAAGATATAATTTTGTAATTACTAATAGTGTTACCCGATCAAATATATCCCACAACATTATTGATGTTTTTTATTATTACGAAAATATTAAAGTTGGCACAGATTGTAAAGTTCTTCTATGTTGTGTGGATATTTTAAATGTCAATCTGTGCCATAGACGTTCGAATTGTTTTACTAATAAAAGGTTACTTTTTCATAATAATTATGCTTCTGATATGAAATGTTCGCTAAAGTTAGTGGTGTTTTTATTTATGAAAGAATAAAATAATCTTAACATTTAATTGTGCGTATATACAAGATATATAATATTTAGTAGAATTTACTTAAAATCCAATAATATCTGTGTACAAAAATGCTTTTTAACTATGTCTTTCTAAATTTTAATACATTTATAACAATTTTAATTAATAAATTGAAATTTCACACACATTGACTGTTAAATATTGACCCTTTTCTAATATTTAGTTTGACTCGAAAAGGCAAATGTTTTATAATCAAACGTGCTGATCACAACTATAATTCGATTTGTCTATGGTACATATTGTACTTTATTAGAGATATAACATTTAGAGTAGGGGGACATGCATCTATACTGTTATTTAAATTAAAAAAAATTAAAATTTCAAAATTTTTGCCCCTGCCCTAAATTGTGTCTCTACTATCGTGTTATAATAATCTAAAACGAATACACCTACTTTAACATTTCTCGGTACGTTCCAGGCGACCTACCTACTTACCTTACCCGTTTCCAATGGGATATGGCCAAGTACCCAATCAAGCAGAGCCTTCGGAACATTGCCGATATAATCAGTAAACAGGTGGGTGGAACGACTGGTACATAATTCTATTACACTCTGTAAAATGTTTCATTGACCCGATTTTTAATCGAATTTAAGTGAAAAGTATTTATATTGATATGTGGTACTGGCATGATGCAGCTATATTATGATTGTAGCAGGAGTGGGTCGGTTCGAACGGGGTAGGACCATGCTCTCACAGAATACCAGCGAAGATAGCAGCTTAATGCTGCTTTGTTTTCGTATGCAGAGTGTAAAGAACCGGAAACTCTTTACTGGATAGGACGCATTCCATCTTATTCCTCAGGGGTGACAACGCATCTGTATTTTGATTCTTAATCAAGGATAAATGTAGATGTCTACGGGCTACAGCATGAACTTACCATCAGGTAGGTTGTGTGCTTGTTTGTCACCCTTATTTTATAAAAAATGGTTGCAGAGTTTGTCGCAGGTATAATTACAGGCCTATTCCTCATGTTATGGTTGTATAGGGCAGCTTTATTATAGTTGTAGGACAAATGGGTTGGCATAACCGGGAAAGGACCATGTTCTCACACAATACCAGCTTAAAATAGCAGCTTAATGCTGCTGTGTTTCGTATGGTGAGTCTCATCCCATCTTAGTCCTCAAGGATGACGCATCTGAAGCTTGTTAAAGTTGGCTGCAGATGTGCATGAGCTTTAGTAACTACTTACCAGCAGCTGGACTGTTAACCCCATTTGTCACTTAAACATAATGATAATAAATAAATAGATAATAAGTAAGGACCAGGAAAGTCTAATTGCTTGCTTGGATTAAACGAATACCTGAAATAAGCACCAGTGGAATATGTTAGTGCTTGATGTGGTTGCCGTGTACAACTCAACCAAGCTAAGTTTGCACCTCGCGTCGATTACGTCCCACTGACGCATAGGTACGGCCTGCAATAAAGGATTCGGTATGACTTTAAAAAAGAAAACTAATGTTTGTTTGATTTTACTTTATTGTTTTTCACATTATATTTATACATCATCATCGTTACAGTCCTTCAAAAGTCCACTGCTGAACAAAGGCCTCCCCCAAGTAATGCCACAAAGCACGGTCCTGAGCCACCTGCATCCATTGACTTACTGCATGTTTTGCCAGAAAGTCACTCCGTCTTGTGGGGGGTCGCCCTACACTACGCCTACCGGTACGAGGCTGCCACTCGAGAACCTTTCTTCCCCATCGGTTGTCGGTTCTTCGAGCTATATGGCCGGCCCATTGCCACTTCAGCTTACTAATCCGTTGGGCTATGTCGGTCACTCTGGTTCTACTGCGGATATCCTCATTTCTAAGTTTATCACGCAGAGAAACCCCGAGCATAGCTATGCAGTTAATTAAATTAGATTAGAGATCCGGAGACACTTTTTAACTGGAAACGAGGCATTCCATCTTAGTCCTCACAAGTGTCAACGCGTCTGCGTTTTGATTCTTAATCGAGCATTAGATGTAGATGTCTATGGGCCACAGCAACCACTTACCATCAGGTGGACTGTGTGCTCGTTTGTCACCCTTATATTGTTAAAAAAAAAAACAATTAGAACTTTGGTTTATAATTTTGGGAAATAATTAAATAATTCTATGCTTATTTTTATTGTCTACAGTAATTATATCGTTATGATTACGGGAAAAGGATTGTTTCTGCTTATTTTCTCGACTTTGCTAAAATCCTAACAAGAAGTTTATTTTTAGGTCTTCGCCACTTACTAAACGAAACACAGCAGCATTATGCCGCAGTTTTAGGCTAGTATTCTTTCATAGAATGGTCCTTACCTGGTCCAGCCAATTTCTTGCTAAACAAGTACGTTTAAACTTAACTATGTAATTCTACCTTTTCATTCTACAGGTGGGTCAGATCGATGCGGACTTGAAAGTCAAGTCAAACGCCTACAACGCTCTCAAAGGCAACCTCCAGAACTTGGAAAAGAAACAAACGTAAGAAGTCTAATTAAAAAAAAGTACCACTCTATAACATTATAGACAAATGTTTATAATTTTATTAGTGGCCAGCTACCAGTAATAAAATTACAGGAATTACCGTTACATATCCTTTTTTACTGGAAACGAGGCTCAATACTCAATAACTTTATTGCATTCCATAGGTTACAAAAGGTGTTACATAGTTTTATGGTATCTCTATAGACCCTCATGGGCCCAGCAATATTATGAAGGAGGAATATTTATTTTGTTTTATTATTATTATTGTTAAATAATTATTTAATATTAACATTCATTATATTATATAAACATACACACATTGAATTTGGAATACGGCTATTATAAATGTTATTATTTATTAATTGATTTTGACATTTAATTTATTATTATAGGTAGCACATTCATTTTTTTTAGGAAGCATTCAATCTTAGACCACAGAGGTCATAACACATTTGAATTTTGTTTTTAATCAATGCAGAAATTCAAGGGCCACACCGACCACTTAGCATCAGATCGACTGTGTGCTCATTTCTCCGACTGTATAAAACCTGCGTTAGACCTATTATGTCCTACGCAAGTGTAGGTTTCGCCCACACCTATAAGACCCACATTTTAAAACTCCAAAGAGTCCAAAACTTTTTCATCCGAAAATCCACCGGTGCACGGTGGTATCAACGGAACACGGATTGTGAATTACCCTCTATCTCCGAATACTTCAAGGAGATGTCTCAACGCTACATTGATAGAGTAGAAACCCACCCTAACACGCTAGTGACAAACGCAGGTAATTACGTTCCGATAGCAAACGTCGCGCCCTATCTCCGCAGACCGCGAAATATATTAATGGAACTACCACAACTGCTCGATCCAGTCGACCCAAACGTCGCAGGCACATCACACAATGTCACTACACCCACACTAAATGGGACAAACACTATTAGGATTACGAATGGGGCGCGTCGCACCCGTAGACGGGCACGACGCGCTCCAGCACACACCGCGTACACACCGTACACCCTCGTTCCTGGGCGGTTCTCACCGCCCAGACCATCGACCAACACGAGCTGAGCAGTCAGAGATGGGGGTCCGCACTCCCCCTTCGGACAGCGGTTAGATAGCTCAAATACGCCTAAAAAAGGCGACATGATGATTGGTAACAATACTAAATCATAAACCATTCATCATCATCCTCACCTCATTGCCTTTCAGACCGCGAGCTAATTAAAAAGGGAAAGCTAATTAAAAAGGGAAAGCCCAGAGTCAGACGAAGCTATAAGAGTCGCAGAGACTAACAGCGATAACATCCAGAAACTAGACTGCTTTTCACCCTAATCCAGTAAAAGAAATGCCTATAATTTTATTACTGGTGGCTGATAGGCTGGTAGTCACAGACAATTTCGGATTTAACTTCATACTTTACACCGCCAAAATTTGTGGAATATAATACGATTTAATCTGGTAGTATAATGGGCAACCCTGGCCGATTCGAACTCGCATACACCGGTGTAGTAGCCTTGCTTAAGCTATTAGGCTGTCGAGAAGATGATCAATGTGGCGAAATTACTAATCATATTCCTACATATTCCACTGTCAAATTTGTTGCTTTGTGTAAAATGTGGGAATCTAATTTTCCAGAATTTTGCCAGCTTTCCAGAAATTGAGCTAGCTAGATCAATTTTTAGCCCCCATAAATTAAAGACGCCACGAATAGTGATTTTGCCGAATACCGAATATCCTGCCACGCTTTTCGGTGAAATGTCGAATATTCGGAGGCCGAATTTGTTTACCGAATTTGGTTCGGTAGGCAACAATTTCTGGAATTGTTTTGAAAAGTCGCTACAGAAAATATGAAGAAAGAGACAAGTGCTATTGTAAATGAGATTAATTTTTATCTAAAAACGGCTTGCCTATATCGGACAGCAGATCCTTACAAGTCGTGGTCAGCCGGAGTACAACAGTGTCCAAAACGGACAGAATTAGCAAAAATTATCTATCATCGCCCGGTAGCGGTGTATATATTGTGATGCAATTTTCAGAAGCGGGTATAGTTTATGAGAAAAGTTAAGTTAGGTTAAGTAAAGAAGCGAGTTACTATCAACAAATGCTGAAGAAATTGTTTTCATTCATCGCATAAAAAAATTAAACAAAGTAGCCGAATAGGCCGAATACCGAATAGTAATCGAATATTCGTGGCATCTCTACCGTAAACCTATGTATTGTAAACTTCATTGGCTCAATTTCCACTGCTGCGGAACGGAACGGAAGCGAATTTTTGTAACAAAGTTGTACATAGTAAAATGAGTCTTATGTTAATTGTGTAACGCGCAAACTAGTTATGAGCCAAAAAAGAAGTCGCGCGTCTTCCGGGGAATTCTCGAGGATTCCCGTAGCTACTGTCGGCGAAGTCTGTGGAATTTGCGGGAAGTGGCGCGAAGGGAGTGGAATATAGACTAATTTTTGTACAGCCCCAAGGCGACTGTCATATAACCCGATGTAGCCTTCGGGCGCGAAATTGAAGCTTTCTTTTCATTCCATTTCGCTGCAGTGTAAATTGAGCCTTAGAGAACGCTATTATCAAAGTCCACTGTTGAACATAATCCTCCCCCATGAATTGCCTGATATTTTTGCCATAGTTGCCACCATAGAATACTATAATACACAATAGAATGGCTGTCAACCTTACTTTGTACGAGGAAAGGCGTCGCCGGGAGCACACATACAAGCAATTAGGTACGTAGTATTATCACAACTACCAACCCGATTCGCTGTGTTGACAGACAGATTTTAATACGTATTTATTTGTAAATAATAATTTGCATGCGAAATTTGGAAACGATTGTAATGTCAAAACACATCTCGTGTTGACATTTATACGTGTGAATTGACGTGTTAGTGACATTTTAGTGGCTACACGGGCTCCGCCCACTCCCCCGTTCCATTATGTAATTATAGTATTCTATGGTTATCACGCTTGGCAAGCGGGTTGGGAACGAATTTTTAATCTTTTAATAATTATAAGGAAGACACTGCTACCAATCTCCAGGTTCGTTTCTCTCTCTCTCGCCTCTTACGACACTCGCCCTACACGGTTTCGAGAACGCTATTACAAACAAATACATATATACATACAAATAAATAAGAATACAATAGTATAGGACTTGAGACAATCTCGATTTTAAACTTACTTTACAAAATTATATATTAATCGCGTTAAATTTGAAATTTACATGCCTGTTTCATGCACAGTACATGACTAAGTTTTATGGTTACTGCTCCACTCTTATGGGTCGTAGAGTGATGTTATACATGCTATATACATCCTCAACGGGATGTTTAATTAACGCAATGTCAAATCAGACTAGTAGTTCGTGAGATTAGCGCATTCAAAGTCTTAAAACTAATATAATAAAACTAAAAAATATAAGAAATTATTAGAGAAGTTTATTACGTAGTTTACTGTTTTTAAACGTTACTCACACTAGGATTTTCTCTTGTATCGTGGGGACAGTTTACACATACATAATTTTAACAAAGTTAAACATACTTGTTCCGTGCGGGATTCGAACCCGTGACTCTTAGCGTTAAAACTCATTGCTAAGGCACTGCGCCAGGGGCCGTCAAAAGTTGATTTAATGTTTTGTTTTGTTTCAGTGGAAGCTTGCTAACACGTAACTTAGCTGATTTGGTGAAGAAGGAGCACTTTATACTGGACAGCGAGTACTTGACCACGCTACTTGTGATTGTGCCTAAGTAAGTAATGTTGAAATAGTCCCGCTGGGTTGCTTGCTGGTTCTTCCCAGGACAGAGGGTTTTTCCGAACTAGTAGTAAAAGTAAATAATGACTTACAATAACAATTACTTGTAATCTATATTGATTAAAAAATTTCTATTCTATTCTGAAAAAATCATTCTGAAAGAAATCATTTTATTTTACTTGACCTTAATTAGCCTTCATGGCTGGTCAATTTTCACATAGACTATTAATTCTTTGGGTTACATATAAAAAGAGCGCTTTATAACCCATCATTTGACAGGCCATTTAGTTTTCCATTGAACAAAGGTGACAAACAAGCACACAGTCCACCTGATGTTAGGTGGATGCTGTGCCCTATAGATATGTACATTTATCTGTGATTAGGAATAAAAATGCAGATGCGTTATTACCCCTGAGGACTAAGATGGAATGCCTCGATTCCAGTAAAAAGAGTGTCCGGTTCTCTACACTTATCATGTGAAACACAGCGGCATAGAGCTACTATTTTACGCTGGTATTCTGTGAGAGCGTGGTCCTGCCCCGGTCGAGCCGACCCATTCGTTCTACAACAATAATATAGCTGCAGCGTGACACTACCATATGTAAAACTTAAAACCGCATGTCTTACCAGGTTATCATTCCATCTAGTGGGGGGCCTCCCTACACTTCGCCTATAGATACGAAACTAGGAGAACTTTGCTTCCCCAACGTTTGTCGGTTCTTCGAGCTATATGGTCGGCCTATTGCCACTTCAGCTTACTAATCCGTTGGTCTATGTCGTTCACTCTGATGTAGTGTTGTTGAAGTCACATAGCATTTTTTATAGCATTAAGTGACAAACGAGCACACAGTCCACCTGATGGTAAGTGGATGCTGTGGCCAATAGACATCTACATTTATCCGCAATTAGGAATCAAAATGCAGATGGTTGCCACCCCTGAGGACTAAGCTGAAATGCCTCGATTCCGGTTAAATGCCTTATTAAACCTGAATCAATCAATAATATCAACTAATAAAATAACCCGTAAAATGTTTAAAGCTATTTCAAATTTCCCGCGCACTCCACTGTTCGACACATGTCGACCGATGACCTCGTATTGCCTTAGCGATACTGCTGCTGTCATAAAAAATGAGTTTTAATAGAGTTAATAGTTGTCTCCCTCGCTCGCGTGGGCTTTTTACGGGGCTTTCGAGAAGACGATCGCTCTCTTTCTAACCTATGGCAAAATATTCTATAATAAAATATAACTACGATTGCATATATAGCAATTCGTATAGAGATTTAAAGCCAGGCTTTTGGGAATAAATTTGTTAAAAGCGGAGGCGCGCGGGCAATACGTTTGCAAGTTCATTTCACGTTTCAATGTTTATTTACTCTGTGGCTTACCGAGTTCAAAATTTATGCTTTTTTAAAGATTTTTAATGTAAGAAAATGGAGGATAATAGTAATGAGGTTAGGATAATAAGGAAATCTTTAAACTTTGTTGAGATAATTCACAAGATTAAGAGTGTATTTCAGACTTATCAATTATCGCAATTAAAAACAGTTATTGGTACAATTAAAACGTTCACCAACATTTTACGTGGACGTAATTAAATCTTTCCATAAGAAAGCGAGACGATTCCACTTTCTTATCTTATCTCTTATCCATTAGAATGTAAATATATTTTTTTTTATTTTGTACTTTGTTCGTGTTTTACTTTTGTTCATGTATTGTATTGGATGTAAATATTTCTTTTCTTTCGCTTAAACAAACCCTAACCGGGGGTATTTCCTTTTTTTTAAAAAACCTTGCACAAAGTGGAGACAGATCAAGATTGGTGTATTTTTATAAAACTGCTAAAAACAACAATCTATATTTTTATCAATTTATATCTTGGGCTTGCCCTAGCTTGGAGCTCTAGCTTCGCCACTGAGATCTTAATTAATAATTATTTTATATGTTCTTTTCCATGCGCATGATCGCGGAGAAGTTTTTGGCCAAAAACCAAAAGGTTTTTTGTGCGTTCATGGACTTGGAAAAAGCCTATGACAGAGTGGATAGGGATGTGCTATGGCAAACAATGAACTCATTTGGGTTGAGCGCTGGCTTGATACAGGCATTGGAGTCTCTTTATAGAGACTCTAGTGCTTGTGTTAGGATCAACGGGATCTACTCAGACTGGTTTGACATCCATAAAGGTGTCAGACAGGGCTGTGTGGCTTCCCCGTGGCTGTTCAACCTATTTATGGACAGTTTGAAAAATTTGAAAGTTGAAGAATGCGGTTTAAGAATGGGTGAGTTAACCGTCAAATGCCTTTTGTACGCCGATGATCAAGTTATCCTTGCGTCGTCGGCGGCCGAGTTGCAAATGATGGTTACATTAATGAACAGATCATTAAAAGAAAGGGGTATGAAACTGAACGCAAGTAAGACGAAGGTTATGGTTTTTGAAAGAGAAGAAAGTAAAACGATTTGTGAAATAAGAATAGAAGGGGAGTTGATCGAGCAAGTAGATGAGTTTATATTTGGGCTGCGTATTTAGCAGGGATGGGAGATATGATAAGGATATAGAACGACGAGTGAATGCGGGAAATAGAGTAAATAGGACCCTGCACTCTATTGTGAGGAGTCAGAATGTGTCAAAATAGGCACGTATGGCAATTCACAATGCTGTGTTAGTCCCTACTTTAACGTATGGTAGTGAAAGTTGGGTGTGGCAGAAGAAGCACGAGAGTAGAATAAACGCAGTAGAAATGCGGTCGTTAAGGAGTATGTTAGGGCTGAATCTGAACGACAGGGTAAGAAATTGTGTAATAAGAGAAGAGTGTGGTTTGCAAGATGATGTTGTGACCAGGATTAAAAAAGGAATGCTTCGGTGGTTTGGTCATGTGGAAAGAATGAATGAGGAAAGAGTGACAAAGAAAATTTACGTTGCAGACGTGAATGGCAGAGTCGAAAAGGGACGTCCTAGGCGAAAATTTATCGACCAAATTGGCGATTTATTGAAAACGGGCCAAATTAGGAGTACCCTTAGCCGACGAGCATGTATGCGTAGGTGTATGGATGTGAAGGAGGCGAGAGAGGTGTGTCAGGATCGTGCCAAATGGAAGTCTGTAGTCTCTGCCTACCCCTCTGGGTGACAGGCGTGAGTGTTTATTATATGTTTATTTTAAATCTATTTTTTTTGCTTTTAACAACTTATTTACTTGGCCAGGGCTTTGTTCAACGACTGGAACGCCAACTATGAGAAGATCACCAACATGATCGTTCCTCGGTCCACCCAGCTCATACACCAGGATAATGATTATGGACTGTTCACCGTCACACTCTTCAAGAAGGTGTGTGTTTTTTCTTAATAAAATATGCAATATTGTATTATTTATTGATGTGTTAATTAATTGTTTATTTTAATTTTTTTTTGCTTTAAAATGTGTTTAAAGCAAAAAAAAAATTGAAAATAAACCATAATTTTTTGTAATGACAGTGAACATATATATCCAAACTAATTTCTTGCTCGTAATATAGACGTAATATGTAGGTAATTATAGAACAGGCTTCGATTATGTAACTATGTTAATAAAATTTAAGCTATTTATATTTTGACGTAAAAATTGAAATTTCGTTTGTGAATCATCAACATGGTTTTTTAATATACCGTTTCAACACAATTGTGCTTGCAAAAATGTCAAAACGATTTTTTTTTTTTGGTAATTATATTTCAATAAAATAAGGCGCATAGTGCACCTGACGTTAAGTGGAGATGCTGTGGCCCATAGACGTCAATACAAGTTCTAATTGTAATATGTTTGATTTAGCTGGGAGTTATGACTTTTCACACAGTCCACGTAAGATCGAGGATGTAGACCTATAGATACCAACATATTCTCTGGTTCTCTACGGTCACCATACGAAACACGGCAGCATTAAGCTGCTATTTCACGCTTATATTCTGTGAGAGCGTGGTACTACCTCGATTGAGCCGACCCATTAGTGCTACAACTATAATATAGCTGCTGCGTAGATATACCGATATAGATATTTACAGAGGTTCAAAAATTTAGAAGGAACTACAACGTCGCCTTAACGAAAGTTGATGAACTTATTGACAATTTTTTTATTGTAGTGCACATATTGTGCACTCAAAATAGTCCTGCTGAGTTTCTTGCTAGGTCTTCTAGGAACAGAGGTATTATCCTAACCAGTGGAAAATAAACGTAAGGCTGATTTTTAATGTTTTTTTAATTATAATAGATGTGACAAATGAGCACACGGTCCACCTGATGGTAACTGGAATCTGTGGTCCATAGACATCTACATTTATCCTTGATTAATCAAAATGCAGATGCGTTATCACCCCTGAGGACTTAGATGAAATGCCTCGTATCCAGTAAAAAAGGTCTCCGGTCAGTTAAAATATTCAATAAGTAATATATATATATTATTTACTGAACAAGAAGCTATTTCTATCTCCAATAATATTTTGCAACAGCCTCGTTGGTCTAGTGGTTGTAGTAGTGCGACTGCTGATCATGAGGTCCTGGGTTCGAATCCCGGGTCGGGTCAAAAAATTAACTATTGAGTTTTTCCGTCAAGAAATTCTCAGTAGCTGCCCGGAGTCAGGAAGTTGGCGGTGTCTCACCCCCGTTCTTTGGAAGGCACATAAAGCTGTTGGTCCTGCGCCTGATCTCTCTCCGGTCGTGTCGGTTTACCGTCCCATCGGATTATGAGAGTGAGGGAATAGAGAGTGCACCTGTGCTTGCGCATACACTTGAGCACTATAATCCTGTCCTGCGCCGATGGCTAGCCTCCGTTGAGGCAGGCCGCCGTGGCCGAAATTCGGTCTGGAGGACATTATTATTATTAATTGTATTATTTTGCAGGTGGTGGAGGAGTTTAAACTGCACGCCCGCGAGCGTAAGTTCGTCGTGCGCGAGTTTTCGTACAATGAAGCCGATCTCGCCGCGGGCAAGAACGAGATCACCAAGCTCGTCACCGATAAGAAGAAGCAGTTCGTGAGTCAACCTCTTGATTTTTATTGATTATTCGCCATTTAGAAAGATACAAATATTCTTTACTAGATTTTTTATATTAGAGGGGGCAAATGAGCATGCAGTCGCATGTAGCGGTAGTCACACCATGGTAAGTCTACTGCCACCAATGAACAACTGTATTCATGAGTTAACACCATAGCAGATTCATTGCTGGGTTAACCTTTTAGAAAGGAGGAAGCTCATTTCTTGAAGGTCCCTTCTGGAAAAATCGTGGTGGTAAACGATTCCACAAAGAAGTTGTACGAAGGAGAAACCACCTAGTGTCCTAGTGAAATTAGCTTTTAGGACGGATTTTATTATGTTTAATTGTTTTATATTTCCGATAATTTGAGTACTTTGCAGCACCCATAGTCTATTGTTAATATCTCACAGTTCCAGCCGATACCAATAACCGAACTACTACATATTACCACTTAGTAAATGCATAATAGAATCAATTATTCCATTGCTCTCACTGTCGATAGATGGAAACATAGTTATCATTTCTTTAATATAAGAAATTTCATAAAAGTAACGCCTGATTTTTATCAATTAATTAATTCCATTCAACTAGTACTAAATATTACCGTGTAGTGGTGCTGTAAGAATATCCGCTACCCCATGTCGTCCCGTGGGTGTCGTGTAAGAGGCGATAGAGGCAAATGAAACAGGAAATAGGTAGCAGCATCTTTCCAATAACAACTGGAGATGGGCCGAATATGGATTTCACCGAATACAAATATTTGGCCGAAAATTCTGTAAAATTTTTACCGAACCGAATATTCGGCCATAACCAATTTATGTCGAAACTTGTTACCGTAAAGCGCGCGGGATCAGCGCCGGACCCTGCCCCTCGCTCGTCATCTAGTACTGAGCAAATTGCTGGCACACGCCTATGTTTCAACTATTTTTGTGAGAAAAAAAGTGTTTCGTTGTGTTATTCTTAGTGAAAATTGATAATTATATGATAAAAATGAGTGACAGGAGATCTTCTATTTGGACTTGTTTTAGAGAAACTGACGACCAAAGCAAAGTGAAATGCATTAATGTAATGTAGTGTTTCTTTGTTTGATTCCAAAAACATTTTATCAAGCTTTCTATTTGCTATAATTGGAAATAAATCTACAGTACCTCAAAAACATAACGCTATACAAGTACATTTAACTCATTAACTCCTCAGCCCCTAAGCGGTCGAATTCGACCGCGGCGCTCTTCCGTCAAAATTCAAGCAGTCGAATTCGACCGCGCACACCCACAGCACTTTAAACCATTAAAACTTATATTTAGAGACTACTTTTCTATGAAGAAGTTTGGCATAATAGAATCAATATGAAATTTTCTATCCTTTAGTGCAATAAAAGTCAAATTATCTTATGGATATTTATTTATAATCTACGTTCATTTCGTACGCCATTTTCGCGTGAATGTTATTGTGTTGATTTTTGAATTTTTCTAGTGTTTTATTAGTGTTATATACTACTATATTAATATAGTGTTTCATTATAAAATTATAACTAAAGTTTTTGTGTGAATATAATTTATCTTTTTACGTAAATAATTTCGAGTAATATATATTGAAATAATTGTGATTTTCACGCTGCCGACATTCGCTTGGTATGTTTTGTTTTTGTTATCAAAATACAATAGTCTTTTTGTAATGAACTGACTTTTATATAGAGAATTTTGTATAGATTTTATAATGCCAATTTTCTTTATAGAAAAGTAGTCTCCAAATATAAGTTTTAATGGTTTTAAGTGCTGCGGGTGGGTGCCGTCGCATGGAATCGCTCGGGATTTGCCGGGCGCATGCGACTGCATGAGAATTGTAAGGGGACTGAGGGGTTAATAAAATATACTTTCAACGGTAAAATTATGAAAAACATGGCATTACTCATTTCTTACATTACGATACAGTGGACACATTGAATACCACTTTAATGAATGTTCATTGTGTGTGTGGTGGCAGTGGCATATATCATCCCTAGTAGACAAGTTATAGCGGAGGATAGTGTTCAGCTGTAAACTTGATTGGCTGTGATGATAATGATTCACCTATTTTTTTACGTGGTAGAGCCACGCTGTACCTATATTGTGGTTGCAGCACGAATGGTTCGATACGACCGGGGCAGAACCACGGCCTCACAGAATACTGGCGTAAAATAGCAGCTTAATGCTGCTGTGTTTCGTATGGTGAGTGCAGAGGCATTCCATCTCAGTCCGCAGGGGTGACAACGCATATACATTTTAATTGTTAATTGAAGATAAATATAGATGTCTATGGGCCACAGTATCCACTTACCATCAGGTGGACTGTGTGCTCGTATGTCACCCTTATTCTATTTAAAATAATAACTATACTATAAATTTATACCCTTAATTTAGATTTGCATTAAATTTGTCTTTTAATCTATCTTCCCCAGGGTCCTTTGGTGCGATGGTTGAAAGTGAACTTCTCAGAGTGCTTCTGTGCCTGGATTCATGTTAAAGCTCTGCGAGTGTTCGTTGAATCTGTACTGAGGTATGTAGCAAAAAAAAAACGTTAGTATGCAGTTCATTCGCGTATGTAGGTGTGAAGTGCGGGGTTTATTTATTTTAATATTGTTAGCAAGTTTAATAAATATTTTACATTTCATTCTACATATTATTACATTGTATTGTATTGTATGTATATATAAAAATATTATAATATTAATATTTAATTGTATATATATCTGTGAAATATTTATTTCTTTAAATAAGATAAATTAAATAAATGTGTGAGTCGCCACGCTGCAAGTTTTCAATTTCTACATGTAGATGAGACCGATATAATAAGAAATACTACTGTATTCTATCTCTTTCCCTCGCAGGTTAAATCCTATAGATGTATATGTTTGTCTCGTTTTAGTGCTGCTTTTTCGTTTCATTGATTTTCAAATAGCAACAATTCTAAATAAGTTTTGACTTTAAAAAGAGAACGCATTTAATTTTGTAATGTGTGTGATTGCATTGGTGCCGGAGTCACATGGATTTTTTTTATATAGAAGTAAAGGTAACCAAGGTCATCCGAGATCGAGCTTAAATGTAGGCCTGTAGATACTTACATGTGTACTCATTTACAAATCAAGATGCGTTGTCGGCCCTGAGAATATTGCGGGTTTCCATATTTGAACCTTGTAGTATCGGTAAGAATATCCACTGTCCCATATCATTATATGGGTATCGTAAGAAGAGGCGATACGAGTAGAGTGGAAAAATCAGAAGATGGATAGCAGCGTTTTCTTATATTCGATAAAACAGTCGATGCGGACTCGTGCAGCGCTAAAACTGATACGTGAGCGCGAGCGAAGTGTGGGTATGCGGGGTGTCCCCTCCCCACGCCTTAGATTATTCGACCTATCGCGTACTATACATTTCCTCATGAATATACTATACTATACTGCCTCTGTGGTGTCGAGAAATTGGTATCACTTGCTTGTGTTTGTTCCCGGTGTTTACAGAATGTATATTACTTTTTTACTAATTATATACTGATTGATTATATTTGTAATGGTACGTTTGTGTTGGATGGCAGGTACGGTCTGCCGGTGAACTTCCAGGCGGCACTGCTGGTGCCGTCACGCAAGAGCATGAAGAAGCTGCGCGACGTGCTGCAGCAGCTCTACGCGCACCTCGACCACTCCGCGCACCAGCACTCGCAGGCCGCAGAGGTACAGCCGGGCTCACTCGCTCACTCAATTGCACCACTCACACACCCGCTCACTCAATTGCATCACTCACACACCCGCTCACTCAATTGCACCACTCACACACTCTCCCGCTGGATCAATTGCACCACTTGCAAACTTATCCGCATCATTGACCCTCTCACTCGCGCCATTCACTCACTCGCACTACCGCACCTCTCACAACCTCATTCTCTCTACACTACTCTTCTTACGCTATCGGTAAAATTCTTACTCGTCCTTCAAATTCAACACTAGCCCTATTCCACGCTCTTTCACATTCCCTACTTATTCTTCTAACTCAAGTCAATTGTTCGTCGCACTTCTAATTTCACTAAGCACTCGCACTCCTCTCTGTAACTATATACGCTCACCCTACCTACTCCGTATAAGTACTACCGTACTAGAAAGTGAAATGTTTACCACCGGCGATTTTTCCGGACCGATACGACTTGGGCACCTTCAAGAAAAGAGCTTACTCATTTTTGAAAGGCCGGCATTGCACCTGCAATTCCCCTGGTGTTGCGGTTGTCCATGGGTGGCGGTAGTCACTTACCATCAGGTGAGACGCATGCCAGTTTACACCCACTTCTATAAAAAAATACATTACAGCCTATAAAGGTCTGCTCCTGAACATAGGTCTTTCCCATACACTGCCTCATAGGAGGGATTTTGCCATAGTTGCCGCGTTTGGTGGGTGGGTGTGCAACCATAGTTTTTAATAGCTTTGAGTAGTTATTGGGAAGATGCTGCTGCCCATCTCCTGTCTCAGTTTCTGTCGCCTCTTACGACACTCATGAGACGATATGAGGTAGTGGATATTCTTACACAACACCACACACACTATGCCATAGAATACTATAATACATACATAATAGAACGGGGGAGTGGGCGGAGCCCGCGTAGCCACTAAAATGTCACTAACACGTCAATTCACACGTACAAATGTCAACACGAGATCTGTTTTGACGTTACAATCGTTTCCAAATTTCACAAGCAAATTATTTTGAAAATACCAAATTGCACGCTATTTACAAATAAATATGTATTAAAATTTAAACTACGAATGATTTTTTTAATGATGATTTTGAACATTAATCAAAAGTCTAAAATGTGTAAATTTACTCAATCTGTCAAAACAGCGAATCGGGTTTGTAGTAGTGATAATAACATTTCTCCCGGCGACGCCGATCCTCATTCCTCGTACAAAATAAGGTTGACAGCCATTCTATTGTTTATTATAGTATTCTATGCACTACACCACAAGTTTACGATAATAACATTTAAATAAATATTATAACAAAAGAGCCGTGGTTGGTCACTGTAAATTTCATAGTACGCGAGCAAACTGGGTTCGATCCCCGTCGGCACCAATGAAATTGCTAAAAACAATTTTAAGTGCTGACTTACCACGTGCTCGGCGGTGAATATACATTATTCTTAGGATAATAAACCGAAATCATGTTCATTTTTTGCTCGATATCGTGACTTACTATATCTTAAGGTGGCTCAAGTCGCGGGCTCGAACTCATTGGTGGGCGCGGCCAAAAAGCACGTTGTCTCACCTGGCATCGTGCCCGACAGAGATAGTACCAGTGAAGAGCAGTTAGAACGCACGTCTTGTTCGTACGGCGTTCCGAACCGTTAGAACAAAAACGAAGTTACACGAACACGATGCACACATACATACCACCCTATTCTGTGCCGCTCGACGCTTGCTAAGAAATCAGCAGTACCTACCTACAAACTCGTACTAAATTATTAGGCACTGCGCTACGTTATCGCTTTATACTATACCTCTATGGCTCTATAGATACCTAATATAGATTGCTTATTTTATTATGTTTTGTTTTCCCCCGGGTGGTCATGCAGCGATCACTCAAGAGTTCACGACGCCGAAGCATGAACTGGAACAGTCATCGCAATTTATATCCGTACTAGCTGTTGCCAGCGGCTTCAAACGCGTGAACTCGAAAATTATCCCACAGGAACGAAATACCTGAATAAACGGTATCAAAAAATGTGTTATTCCAGACCAGGTATAACCTATCTCTGAGCTAAATATCATCCAGATCCCTTCAGCTGTTTTGGCGTGATTGAGTAACATACATCTATCCATCCAAACTTTCGCATTTATAATATTTAGATAATAATTGTAATTAGTTCTGCATACCTATAAATTGTTTTCAAAAATACTTACCTGTCTTCTTCCTTTTTTTATATACACACAATATCACTAGATGTAAACACATGTTTTTATCAAGACAAGTGACCCGTCAAGACTGTTTCCTTAGTACCGACGTACTTAGGCAGGTAGTAGTAGGTAGGCAAAAACGATTACTACTGAAAAACTAAATAGGTACCTACCTAACATTCAAATAAAAATATTCTCAAAAAGCTCAACCAATTCAGAATTTAATTTTGTTAAAAGAAAATTGGTCAAATAAAAAATAAAGGATGAAAATAAAGCATATGGGAATATAAAAATAAATCGTATTTATTTGAATAAAACTATTATTTATGGATTTTATCGCGTTTAATTACTTTAATTTATTTTTATTATTATACCGACGTTTCGGGTGCTTTACAGCGCCTATGGTCACGGGGGGACCAAGGGCGCTGTAAAGCACCCGAAACGTCGGGATAATAATAAAAATTAATTAAAGTAATTAAACGCGATAAAATCCGTAAATAATAGTTTTATTCAATGTGTAGTGTTCGCGTAAATTTAAGAAATCGTATTTATTTGTTATTTCGAGTTTTACAAGAAAAGCATAATATTTACTGGAGAGAATTATTTTATTATTATAATAGTACATGATATTCCCTTTAAAATGACACCAATATGAATAATATCTTATATCTATATCTACAAATAAATAAAATTTAAGTGTCTGTTTGTAATGTTAAAATAACAGCTTTTTATTAAATGCATATGAAAGTACTAGTAACAAAAACACATTTTTTAAAATTTCAAACACCACAATCTCTAATTTTTTACTCTGCTATCTTCAGCGCTGTACACGAACGGAACGATGTCGTTGAGAGCCGTGGTAGCTCACATGGTTAGCGCTCGTTATAGGTATCACAGTACGGGAGCAACCCGGGTTCGATCCCCACTGGCACCAATGAAATTGTTGCGTGCTGATTTAGCTATCAGTTGGAAAGTCTGTTTTTCTGGGCCGTTTTGTTTTGTTACACTGACATCTCGCAAGTCACCTAGGGACCTAGGACGTTGTCGGTTGCTTATTTTTTATTTTTCTTTAAAATTTTGGTCGGTAAAATAACATATTGATAAAAGTAAAAAAAAAGGTAAAGTTACAGCCTATATACGTCCCACTGCTGGGCACAGGCCTCCTCTAATTTCTGAGAGGGTTTTAAGGCAAGGAAATGTCCGCTACGCTGCCTCAATGCGTGTTGACGAACTTCACATTTCTTCGAAATATATATTTTTTAATTTCTCAGACATGCAGACCCGAGTTCGATCCCCGCCGGTATCAATGAAATTGTTAATTGCAATTGTGCTGATTTACCACGTGCTCGGCGGTGAAGGAAAACATATTGAGGAAACCTGCACGTCTGAGAATATAATTATAATCGAATGTAAATCAAATTGACATAGGTAAGTACAGATAAAATTAGCGGAACATTAATAAAATTTTGAGATCGTTTTTTTTTTCAAAATTTTATTTATATATTCCTCTATTTTTGTCTGTGCTTATATCAATTTGATTTAATCCAAAGTTCAAGCAGGGGTCAATGTAGCGTAGTAATTTAGAGCGCAGGTATAGCTATAATCATACGAACGTCACAGGCCGCAGCTGACAATGACGTCGAATAAAACTAGAATAAGCGCGCGTCACCGCGCATGCATGTGTGTGTAAGTGTCGTCCTCCCGCACCGCACCGAGGGAAATTTATTCAGTGAGATGCACGATAATTCATATAAACACGCGCGCGTAAAAAAATACGAAAAGGCCTTTGGAAGGAGGGGTCTTATGAAAAACCCACTGCATGAATCAATTACCAATAAAATTTATTGAATTCTTCGATAATTGAGCTGTGTCGGTACCGACTTTGTTTTGGAAATTTTACACTGCTTTTATTACTAATTTACGCCCAAAGTTGTGTTAAAATTGGCAATAAAAACGAATCTTTGGTAGCTCGTAACTTTTTACTGACTTTTTATTTTACTATTCTGTTTCGGTACAGACAAAATTAATAATGAGACAAAACGATATCATGTTTAACTTTGGATGTACACTGTCAAACAGCGGAGTAAAACCCCTCCGAAATTTCTATGGAAATAATGTCGACTAGAGTCACCTTAATGCACAACCTGGAATATTTTCTTTAAAAATATTTTTTTAATTTATGAAACGAATGCGTCTTGACCTTTCGGTGATGTCACTAAGACTAATTGACAAAAATCGGAGATATATCCTATAGGACAAAAGTGGCAGACGACAATTTTGTTGCTGATGTGGTCTACCAATTACACAGTCCGGTCACACCAATTAGATAGTTGTATTCCCCTTTTTTGCAAACATAAAATATTGCCGCTTCCAGCATTATACGTTTATGAAATCTGTATCTTTGTTCACAAAAATAGTAATTTATTTGAAAAACACAACGATGTTGTAATTAGGACTAGTAGAAATATACATAAATTGTGTGTACCAAAGCAAAGAATACAACTCTACTCAAAATATGTATATTGTATGGCAATACATGTTTACAACAAATTGCCTGTTTGTTTCAAAAAGATGAATATAGGAATCTTTAAAAGTAAATTATTTCAATTTCTTTTAAATGAATGTTATTACTCAACAAATTCTTAAATGATAAATTTGACTCGAATTGTATTTATTGAATTGCTGAATTTAATTTTTTGAAATGTTTTAACTAAAAATATTATGAATTGATTGATGATTGTTTTATATACATTTAGTTTCCATAAGTATTGCTGCAAGTATCTTTATACTATATAATAATTAATGTCTTAGTTTAGAAACGGCAGAATATTTAGGATCGAAATTCTTTTGTAACAACAGTAATGTACCATATTCTGACAAGTAAAGCATCTTATCTTATCTATTACTACTACCTACTTAAATGTCTTTGCGAACTTGTATTCGAAAAAAAATTTCTCCTTATATTTTTTGTGCATTAATAAATGTATGTTGTTCAATAGAACGTGGAGTTGGCGGGTCTTGGCTTTGGCAACTCCGAGTACTATCCGTACGTGTTCTACAAGATCAACATTGACATGATCGAGAAGGCCATCTAGACGGACGGCACTGCCCAGTGCGTTGTGTATAGGTATGTATTGAAGTTTATAAGTTCACAACTGCCTCGTTGGTCTAGTGGTTGTAGTAGTGCGACTGCTGATCATGAGGTCCTGGGTTAGAATCCATGGTCGGGCCAAAAAAATTAAGTATTGAGTTTTTCTGTCAATAAATTCTCAGTAGTTGCCCGGAGTCAGGAATTTGGCGGTGTCTCACCCCCGTGCCTCGGAAAGCACGTAAAGCCTGCGCCTGATCTCTCTCCGGTCGTGTCGGTTTACCGGATTATGAGAGTGAGGGAATAGAGAGTGCACCTGTGCTTGCGCGTACACTTGGGCACTATAATCCTGTCCTGCGCCGATGGCTAGTCTCCGTTGAGGCAGGCCGCCGTGGCCGAAATTCGGTCTGGAGGATATTATGGGTTCACAAATGAAAACTGTATTTTTGGAATGAAAACGTATGTACGTTGGTAAGTTGTTATGTTACGTTGAGCACTTTTCGGATGGGGGAAAATTCGCGTGACCGCCACGTTCGGACACATATATACAGATGCTATATACAAAAGAGCCATATACTGGATGACCTTTTTACCGTCTGGAAAAAAATGGGGTGTTACAGGTGAACGGAGTAGAAGCCTACGGCACTGATATTTTACTTTGTTTGCTTTTACATTAACATATTGTGAAATTGAACTATCAATAAATACCACTAATTTGAAATAAACTTTCAGTAGTAAAAAATAAAAACAAAAATTTCGAACTAAATAAATAAATCAATTAAAAACTATTGAAATTAAAATAATACGGATCCAATTAGTAGAATTTATGGGTAGATCAATTTCATAATATCTTAGTGTACAAATATCAGTTGAATATCAAATTGAAAAATGTCAGTGCCAAAAAAAAATCACCGGTATATAAGCTATATTATGTATTGTGGGATGGACAAAAGGACTTAACTCGTGTGACCGTCATGCGCAGATATATACAGATGTGTGTAAGCCAAGAAGCTTTCACTACGGACGTGCAGTCCTAAGACTGCCAGTTCCATTCGTAATTTATTACGTGGGAGAGCCACTCTGCAGCTATATTATGGTTGTAGCACGAATGGGTCGGCTCGATCGGGGAAGGACCACGCTCTTACAGAATACCAGCGTAAAATAGCTGCTCAGTGCTGCTGTGTTTAGTATTGTGAGTGTATAGAACCGGAGATCCTATTTACTGGAAAAGAGGCATTTCATATTAGTCGTCACGGTTGACAACGCACATGAAGGTTAGAGAACAGGAGAACGATCACTACGTACTAGCATAGCCCGCCTGTCCTTGAAAATTGTAGAATGTATAGCGGCGCTGACGTCGGTGAGTAGTGGCTGCGAAGTTAGCTGTTTATGAGTACAAGTAGGTGAAGTTAGTTGAATAATGTACGTACAAATATTCATTTCATTTTTAATGAGAAAATATTCATGCTCCGTAATTTTGTAATTTTTGACAAAAAGAAACATTAAGAAATGGAGAAATATTTTATTGTGCGTGGATGTGCAAGTGATTTAGCATCTGATCGGAAAAATAGACTGAAAATGACGTTTATTGACCGAACTTAGTGATCGCAGCGCCTCACTTATGGTGTCCATATTTCTGGGACACTATTTTGTATGGCGATCGTTCTCTTGTTCTCTAACCTCCATGACAACGCATGTACATTTTGATTAGTAATCGAGTATAGTATATTAGTAATCAAATATTATTGAAATTATTAATACATTTTCAAGAAACTGTTTACAAATATACCTAATATAGTATATACATATTTTATTTTTTCTACAGGTAATGTTACCAGGTCGCGTTGCCCAGACGACATCGTGTTGAGCAATAGTCGCAATGTTACATTGTACAATTTACTTTATTCCCAGTTATAATTTTATTTAGTAGCAACACCGTTCCTTGTAAAAAAAAATCAATTACGATTTCATATATCATATATATATTTTTTCTATGTACAGAATTTTTGAATGTTTACTTTGTATGTCGATTGTATGTGATGACATTAATATTTATTTGTGTTGCCATTGTAGAAAATGCTAAATATTTCTGTGGAATTGTGCTTCGGCTTTCGACGTTACAGGATTTAAGCGAAATGCAACAGATTATATTTACAGTATTATTGAGTTGCGTTTAAAGAAAAAAATATATAGAATTAGTCTGTCCATTCGGAAGCCTGCGTAATAAATGTTCGATAAAATTATATTGGAGTTTATTAAATGCAAAGCTATGTAAATAAGAACATTCCTCATTATAACTCGTGTAGTACATAATAAATATTATTCAAGTTACTGTTATTTGCTGTTTTATTTCTGTAGATTTAAGTAACAAGCCACTACAGCGGTGTAAGAATGTCTACACATACACATATGGAACATATCGTTCCATGGTATCGAAGGAGGTTACAGAGGGTACCTTCGTATTACAATTTAAAAAAAATCGCGGTTGCTAACCCGCTTGCCAAGCGTGGCAACTATGGCAAACATCTCACAATGAGTAACAACAAAGAAATGGCACCCAGCCTCCGGCAACCCCGTTCCCTAGTCAGCGGCGGCCCCGCTGTTTCTAGCTACGATGGTGACCACGGCGGGGCTGGGGATGCTAACGGTACGTGTACACCAAAACTGATTATGTCGGCCGATGGCGGACAGAACTACCCGGACGAGTAACTCGGACGTGTATGTGCTTACACTGTTGCAAGTGTACCACTTGTGCCGACATTGAACGTTGCCGGTATTCTTTTCTATTTTCAGTATCCATAGTCGTTTAGGGTGATAACAACACTGACAGAAAAAATAGAATAAAGACAAAATGATTAAGAACTATAAATACACTCAATTTGCACTGTAGACGCCGGCAGTCTGGCGAGAAATCCCAACAAGTTCGGATTCGACGGTTGATCGACCGTTTTCGTGCGTTCTCGGACGATGACGGTCGTGTTTTGCAAGTGCTTGATTCTATCGTCCGAGTTCGACCGTTGTCGCCGTGCAAACTTCGGCTGATGACGGATTTGGTGTATACGAAGCGTAAATATCTCCGGTGGAAGTTCGATTGCCACGTAAGACGACTTATCCTGGCAACGTTTAACACAAGCACCCTAAAGACTGACGAAGATATAGACAAGTTGTGCTGGGATATTATAGGATTATCTGAGGGCCCAAAAAAGGGGAAGGACATGGTAATCTCTCTTGTTAACGACGTTGTAATAAAAAGTCAAGGAAATAAACAAGTAGATAGGCAAGTATATAATCGAGTAAATAATCAAGTACGGACTCAAGCAAACATTAAGTTTATAGTCGAGTAAATAGTCAAGTAAATAGTTGAGTAAATAAAAGTCAAATAAATAAACAAGTATATTAGTATGAACTATACAATTAAATAAATAATCAAGTATATAATTAAGGAATAAATCAAGTAAATAATTAAGTACATAGTTAATAAATAGGCAAGTAAACAGCCTTGTAAATAGGCAAGTTAATAAACGATTCAAGTGAATAGTTAAATAAATGATCAAGTCAAGTCAGTAAACAATCAAGTATTTAAATAAGTAAAGGTTCAAGCAAATAATTAAGTATATAGTAAATTCCGTGCAAGAATATCTACTGCAGTACATTCCTAGGGCAGGCGGAAAAAATACATTGACCATTGACGATATCATCGGGGTAGCCAACCTTTTTTTTGGTTTTTTTTATCTTTGTATCATTATTCATTACATACATCAATACCTGTCGTTTTGTTTCGATGCTAACATAATACTTGAGATCACTGTACGTTTTTTCGTCTGCCCTAGAAACGTATTATACCACATATCTTCCCGTGGGTCCCGTAAGAGGATACAGAGGGAAACAGGGAACTTTCTGATAACAGCAATATTACAAAAAAAACTGGTTACCATCATGCTTGACAAGTGTGGTAACTAAAAACATCCCCCCATGTTCAACGACATAAATAAATAGACCCAATCCCCGGGGGGCTTCGCTATTCCAAGCAACGTTGGCGACCATGGTAACACCGGGTTAGTGGGTGCTAAGAATCTATGAGTGAAATCGAGTGGAGGTTCGGTTGCCACCTAAAACGACATGACTTGGCAACATTTTACGCACACATCCTGAGGACTGACGAGAAGATCCTAGAGCTGGAAGACGACAAACGACAAGTTGCGCTGGAATATTATAGGATTATCTGAGGTCCAAAGTGGCGGAGGACACGCTAATCCTCGAATCCGGCAACTTGCTCTATCACCGGTGAAGAACGGCGGGCTAAAGGTAAGGAAATTCGAAATAGAGCAACGGAACCCAAGCGATGAGCAGCTGGCCGACTTCATGGAGAAGGAGGGACTCCTCACGATGAACTTTTTTCCAGAAGCGCGGCCCCGCATAAAGTAGACTTAGTCAAGTCCCGATATAGTTAAATAAATAAACCAAAAAATAGTCAGAAAAATAGCCAAATTTGTAGTTAGTAAGTCTACCGACCGAAGTTTTATATTATTTTAATTGTTATCACAACGATATTGCTTACAATTTTTAGGACTCATAAAACGATACAAAGTCGATTAAACCAGGAGGTTGTCATATACTTGCCATATACAGGTGTAAATTCTCCATTATATAGAAGAAGCACTGAAATAACATATATGGCTATATTAAATATTGACTACACTGTACAAGTGTGATAAGAATGAGAGAAAGTGCTTTACATTGGTAAATGCAAATAATGCAAGAGTAGGCAGCCCTGTTTCCGGGCTTGGTGTATTGGGGGAGTTTTTTTAGATATTAAGCAGACATATGTGAATTCATACAATAATTCAAAAGTGAAGTTACTCTAGTGGAAGATAATGATGCACGAGTACCATATCTTTACAAAAACCTTGAATACCTACCTACCTACTAGTAACTTACAACTTGTTTTGTTGGGAAGCTTGATCAAATCAGTAATAACTTATATTAGTATTGTAGGTTATAATATAATAATAGAGCGATAATGTTGTTATTAGAAAAAGATAAGGAGATAGATCGCTGGGGGCACTAGATTAGCGCGTAAATATTTTATAAAAGATAACGGAAATGTATAATCTGTGCCCTCTTACGCATTCAATAAATATTATGTTAGATTGGTGCGTATGTAAACAATAATTTAAATTTTTGTTATTGCGTGGTTAAATTATTCATATTTTTAACTACTCCCGCTAAGAAAATTGAAAAGTTATTGTTTGTTAGTGTGTGTGTGTGTGCATGTGCTCGTGTGCGTGTGCGTGTGCGTGTGCGTGTGCGTGTGCGTGTGCGTGTGCGTGCGCGTGCGCGTGCGCGTGCGCGTATGGTGTATGGTGTGTAGCTGTGTTTCGTATGGTGTATGTAGAGAACCGGTGACCCTTTTTACTAGAAACGAGGCATTCCATCACAGTCCTCAGGGCTGGCAGCGCATTTTGATTTTTAATTGAAGATAAATGTAGATGTCTTCGGGCCACATCATGCACTTACCATCAGGTGGACAGTGTGCTCGTTGGACTCTCTTATTCTATAAAAAAAAATTGAAGTTCAACCATAATTACACGAAGCTCCTTGTCCGAGACGGTACGGTTGCTGGCATGAAATACGGCAAACTATAAAGTTGGAAAGAACTTCACGGACCAGGAGAAAGTATAATTACACGTCAAACGTACGTAACGTGGCGGAAGTTTGCAAATTAATTTTTTTTAATAATTACACGTCAGCTACTAGTGTTTATGGGAGTTATTTTTAGATATTATTTTATATAAAATATTATATATATATATATATATATATATATATATATATATATATATATATATATATATATATATATTATTTTATATATTTTATTAAAAATATATATATATATATATATATATATATATATATATATATATATTAAACTTGACATAAATATACAAATAAATTTAGGACAATTGAATAATAAGTAACATTTGTAATTAACATTATATTGTTGGAGTACCCAATAATTGACAAATGAATATTAATATTTGTCATTGAGCTTAAATAATAATCTTACATTGGAATTTCTCCGATACAAATAATGAATATAAAATACACAATTACTTATCAAAGCAATTGAGTAATATTAAATAATTTATGTATATATATATATATTTAAAAAAGAATATTAACAATGCTATAAACATTACTAATATTCCACTTAACCACTCGTGGTAAGCTTAAATTGCTTGTGTTACGAGTGGTTCACGCCAGTAGTCGAATGGCGGATTCGAACCCACGACCTTTTGATTTCGCGGTCCGCGCCTTCCATTAGGCTACTGTCGCTTCAAAGTTATTCAAATTCGATAAAAATATTGATATGTTAGTTACTTGACGAGCCGTGGTGCTCAGATGATTAACGCTCGCTGTAAATATAACAGAACGCGAGTAACCCGGGTTCGATCCCCGCCGGCACCAATGAAATTGTTAATTGCAATTTTAAGTGCTGATTTACAACGTGCTCAGCGGTGAGGGAAAACATCTTGAGGAAACCTGCATGTCATAAGAAAAAAAATATTTCGAAGACATGTGAAGTTCGCCAACACGCATATAGGCTGTAATTTTAGTTACTTGACTATTAATATTTGCAAACTACTAATATGGAATAAGTAGACGAACAACATTGTACAACAATATTCTTGCAAATAAAGATTATTATTATTACTGTAAACAATAATTTATTTATAATACAAGCCTTTAAACTTTTGCCTTTTGGCAATAATCCTAGCCTTTAGAATTTCGTTGGTGATAAGATGTGGAATTGTACATAATGCATTGTGCTGATAAGGCGCGAAAATACAGATACAAATACGTAGGTAACTATAAAATATCTGTCCACATTGCGTAATCTGTTGCATTTGTTT